CCACTCTACACCCGTGCTGTGACGCAGAGTAGCACAGGTCGTGGAGACAGGGCCAAGCAGGTCTCCCTGCCGGCGTCCCACACATCATAGCCGAGTGAAGAAGCGGCTTCCTCCTCATTCACCTCAACTAAGCAGTCATTCCACCACATATGCTAAGTCGACCAGGCCCCGTCTAAGCCCCCAGAGTCCAAGCCCTTGGCTTGAAGGACGCCCATGTGTATTACGGCTGCCACAGGACATGGCAGAGGATAACAGAGGTGCTGGGCCAACTGCACCAAGCCGAAAGCGGGTCAGAAGGAGGCATGGGAGGCGAGGAGGCCATGGACACCACTGGCCAGAGGCAGCCATGAGCCCGTCTGAGGGTCAGGCCACCATGTGGGGACATGGGAATGACCCAGCCCTGCAGCAGGCCCCTGGACTTTCCCTTCTAGCACAGGAGCCAGAGAATAATCAATTTCCAGAGTCACCAACAAGAACCTGGGCTGGTGACCCAGAAAAGACAGTCCAACAGCACATTGCTCACAGTACCTTGGGAACACTGTTTCTCAACATAAGCCATGCCGAGCTGTGTCACTGGGTTCGCATGCAAACCCCCAAAGCCAAGTGGCCCTTCAGCTCAGCAAAGTAAGCACATTCCTCATAACTCCAGCAGCCAGTATATCCTGAGCACTGGCCAGGAGCCCACAAGAGCCACAGGAGCTTTCTTGGACCAACCTCAAGGAGATCAAATAATTCAGCTCATTGAAGAGGGAGATCTGGAGCAGCTGATCACATACTAGCCACAACCTGACCGCTCACCTGGGCCTCAGTGGACCCTGGGTCTGAAAACTAAGTGCAGACACCTGCTTCCAAGCACATAGGACTAGTGGTGAATGCGAGCAAGCATCAGCCCCACAGGCTCCACCTCTGATCCACTGATGTCCCTCAGCAGGCGGCAAACAGCCCTGGGGAGTGAGAAACAGTGAGATGCAGGTCTGAACAAGCCACAGCAGCCTGAATATTGGTTTCAAGGTAACCAAGGGAGCTCAACTCAGGTCATTCCACTCTGACACCACAGAGAGACCAGAGACACCTGCTCACTTGAACCACAACAGCCTGAGGCCTGGAAATAAAGACCCTGCAGCAGCGTCCCTAGACCCCTTGGGTGCCAGGACTATAGGCATATGGGATGTAGCCGCATCACAAGCCACTACTGAAGTGTCCTACCACTGACGGTTCCCACAGGGGTCTCCTGGGGCCCAAAGCCTGCTGAGTATCTCCCTCTGAACCACTCAAACCCAACAGCTCTAATACCCAACTCACCATCTTCACCCCTGACCTCTCCCTGGCCCCCAACTCATCTGCCTCTTTTCCTGTGTCATCATGCACTGGGCTATCTGGGTCAGGAATCAGCATCTCCCCCCCCCCCCCGGCCTGTTCCTCCATCTCCCTCCCCACACCCTATGGTGGACTGACGGACCCTCTCCTGCTCCACCCCTCCGACCACCCCTGTCCAAAGTGGTCCCTGCCTCCAAGACTGTCCCCTCAGAGCCAGCCTCCACCCCAACCCCACCTGTTGCCCCCACCAGACAGCCACTCCAGCTGACATCCCCACGCAAGGCCAGTCGTCTGGCTTCCCCCACCAGGCCCGCTGCCCGCGCCGCATCCCTCTGACTCACTTCACCGCACTCGCGCAGGCCCGCCCCGCGCCCACCACCACGAGGTCTGCAAGTGTGTAGTTCGGACCCGCCCGCTACCACAGAGCCCTCTCTCCGGGCCCTAACGCTGCACTGCCGCTGGGCTGGCGCTGCAGGGAACCCGGAAACCCAACACTCGGGCCTCGGGGCCCAGGGACTGGGGGCCGGCCCGGCCCAGCACCACCTAGCTCTCCCCTTGATTGCCTCCGGCCCTGCCAGCTTCACGACCTATCCTCTATGACCCATAATCCGCGTGACTTTTGCACAAACTACTCCCTGCTCCGGACCGCCTCCTTCAATGTCAGACAACGGGAAGGATCCTCTCAGAGCTCAGGCTGGGCTTCCCCTAGAGGACAGCCCGGCGTGCCCGCCGCCCGCCCCAAGGCCCCGGCACCCCCCCACCCCCGCCCCGGCGTGGGGAAGAAGGGGAGCGGCCAGCTCCCGGGCCCCTTCCGGGCCGTGACGCGGCACGCTCGGCTCCTCGGCCGCGCCGGGCGCACCTGAGCCCCGGCAAGGGGGCGGGCTCGGCTCCACGACGCCCGGGACCCTCCTCGCGCTCGCCCGCTGACCTTGCGAAGGCCCTCCCGACTCGGCTTCCCACGCAGCCCCGGACGACGGGGCGGCCCCCAGACTCTCCGGCCCAGGCTCCCCCGAGGGGCGCCTCTCCGAGCGAGCGCCGCCGGTCCCCCCGGTCCCCAGTTTACCTGAGCAGCTGCCGCCGCGGCTCGGGCACCGCCCTCCCACCCAGCCCCGGCCCCGGAGTGGGCGGGGCCACACGCCGAGCCCGCCCCCGCCCCTCCACCAACTGCGGCACGGCGCGCGGCAGCTAGGCCCCGCCCCTACACGATCTCTGCGCTCATTGGCCGGAGACGCGTCCCTCTCCCTCCCTCTCTCCACCCCGCCCACCGAGCCCCAGCGAGCGGGAGTGCGCAAACTCCGCCTCGCGCTCGGCCCCGCCCCCAGCCGTCCAGAGACCGCCGCTCCCGACAGTTGGGCGCGAGCGCGGCCTCCCGGCCGGCCGCAATAAATGCGGCCGGTCACTGCGCAGGCGCGGGGCATGCACTTCCCGCTCCCTCCCCGTGGGACCTGTCCCCCTCACCTCTGTTCTTGTCCGCCTCGGACGCTTACACCTCGTAGGTCCAGGCACGGAGACACCGCTCCACGCGCCGAGGAACGCATCCGGGACGCGGGCTCGGCGCGCCATTGTGCACAAAGCCAGTCCCCTCGCAAACACACCTGTCCAGGTACACACGCTAGGTGGGCCAAACCTGGACACACCGGTAACTATCATGCCTTATTATCTCTCACACAAGAACGCACCCAACAAACACCCAGAGACCCTGGGGCCGTCGACTCCTCCCAGAACAGACACGTTCAGTGGGCCAGCAATGGGGATCAAGATGAGCAGGTGTCTGCGTTCGGGAGCCTGGGCTCTGGAGAGAGGGGCAGATAATAAGCAAACGATAAGACACGCGAAGCGCTGTGAAGTGGCGCCGCTGGGGGACGGAAGGAGGTAGGATCGGACTCAGAGGGAAGACGCTGGGGGAGGAGATGCGTTCTGGCCCTGGCACCCGCACGGCCTCGGAGGCTGACATCGTCTGGCATGTTTACAGGCCAAAAAAAAAAAGAAAGTGGCGTAGCAGCTCAGGAAGTGAGAAGGGCGGTCTGAAAAGGAAGTGGTCAGCAGCCATACATCCAGGCCTAGCAAGTGTCTTCATTGCAGCAGGTTGGGTCTGCTGTGGTGACGGTGTGAGGGTGCAACGTGGGGCCCCGGGGTGGCAGCTGAACAGTGCAGGGAGGGACATTCCTTTTCCCAAGAGAGAAGGGGTTCAGCCCGTTTCTGTTGCAGGGATGGAGCCCAAAAGACGGACAGAAGGCTGACCATGAGATGCTCTGCAGATGGGGCCTGGCCTCTCGGGCAAGAGCCCCAACCACCCCCCAAACCCTCTCACGCAGCATGTAGAAGTTGCTAGGGCAGGAGGCAGGCCTTTTCGAAGCTCCCATCTGGAGGATTCACTTTCCTGCCCAAGCCCTGCCTCCGGACATGGCCAGTGCCCAGCATGGCCCACTGGCTCTGCCCCCTCCCCAGCCTCAGCCAGACTTTACTCCCCAAGGGCACAAACTGCCCCAGCAAACATCACAGCTTTCATTTTGCTTTATTACGTTACTGATGCCAATCTCCTGTCTGTAACTGTAAGCTCTAGGAGAGAAAGGCCCATGTCTGTGATTTGCTCCCAAGTGCTCAGCACCAAGCACAGCACATGATGGGTGCTCAATGCATCTCATGGAATGGTTGGTTGGATGACCAAGAAAGCAGTGAAGGAGGAGGGCACAAAAGACTTTGCAAAGGGAGGGTGGACAGAGCTGTTGACCGTTCTGGGTCCTGCCTGTCTCCGCACGATTCTCACTGGCTTCCAGTTGTGTTCTGGCACTGGTGGGAGCTGGGAAGGTGACAGCCGACATGGTTCCCAGGCTCCACAGCAGCAGCTGGGAGGCACAGACACCCCTGGCCAGAGCCACATGATTTTCCCCTTTGCTGCTCCAGCCCCCTAACACCTGAATAACAACCCCTAACACCTGAGATCTGGAGGTTCTCTTCTCTAACCTGCACATCAGCAATGAACAGTCTGTCCATATTTTCTATATCCCAGGCAATTTGACAAACAAGGGCAGTGAGCAAGCAAGGGAATATTAAACACAAGGATGTGAACGCCTACTATGGGATGGGTGCGTCAGGCATGGTCGGTAGACAGGAGGCAGGGACTAAGGGAGGTGGCCATCAGCAGTTCCTGTGACTCCTTAGAACAGTGTCTGCCACACAGCAGATGCTCATTAATGTTAGCGGCTACCCCCTGTGGCAACAGTGCTCCCAGAAGGCTCTGGAGGCCAGGAGAAGTGAGGGGCCATGCTGGCTTCCCTTGCCTACAGCCCAGACTGGGGACCCTTGCTTGCCTTGGGGATGTGTCATCAAGTCTGAGGAAAGCTTTGGGTGCAAGGCCTCCTGCAGCGTCCCTTGGCCTGGACAGAAGCTTCTAGGCCACAGCAGAGGAGTCAGGTAGCTCCCGCCCCCATGCCCTTCTTCTGGCTCAGCCTCTATTGCAGCACACCTGGCTGCCACCTTGCTACCCTCGAAAAGGAGGAGGGGCTCAGCTGAAACAGTTCTAGCGCATGTTGAGTTGCCTTTCCCCTTCTTTATATCCTTAGAAACCCTGCTTACCTTCCCTCGCTTACCCTCCCCACAAGCTTCTTTAAAGGTCTTTTGTGGCCAGTCACATAAGGCCTCACCCTGCCTTGGGGATTCTCACCCCACTAAGACTGGGCCCCATGCAGGACGGGGCTGGTTCCAGCAAGATGTTCTCAGAGAAGGTAGGCCCTGGGGGACAGCACACCCCCCTTTGAGGGCACAATGCAGGGGCAGCTCTAGAACCCTCCATCCTGGAATCTGCCCCCGCTTTCCCAGAGCCTGCCTTGACCCACACCAGTCCATGGTTGTGTTAGCTTCCCACCCCGAGCTCTCAGCCCTGGTCACTCCCTTGCCTCTGCCCCGGTCCCAGAAAGACTTCAGAAATTTGGGTGCAGCCTCAAGGGGCAGAGGGCCCACCAGCCGCCTCCAGCCCTGTTGTCCTAGCCCTTCTGACACCGTCAGGCCTCAGCCCTATCCCCTGCTCCTCCTACCCGAGGCCCTGCAGTGAGCTGGACCACCCTGCCCTCCACGAAGGGCAGTGCCAGGCGGAAGCTGGACCAGCAAAACTTCATGGAACAGGTGCGCGAATGCAGGGACAACGGCTACCTGCTCTCTTCCAGGAAGATTGGTTCTGGGGCCTTTTCCAAAGTCTACCTGGCCTATGCCACACATGAGCGCATGCAGCACAACCCCAAGCTGGCCTCCGACCTGCGGGGCAAGCGCCATGCCATGGTGAGGCAGGCCCATGTCTTCCCCATGGGTGGCAGACGGCAGGCTCCATGGGCCGCCCTTCAGCCCAGCCCCTGTGGTCCCTGTCCTAACCCCACTGAGGCACCTCCCTGCTGTTCTGGCTCCCTCCTGGTCTGGTATCCTCCCAAGGACCTGGAAGCTGGCCACCCCTAGCTCCAGAACCCCTTGAGCATATCAGGGCCAGGAAGGAAGAGGATCAGTATAGACCCCCAAGGATGCTGCTTCCCAGCCTTACTCCAGTCAAGTTCAGCAATGTGCACAAAGGACATGGGGCCTGTCCATGTCCCCCCTTCAGGGGCTGTGGTCTGCACACAAGGGCCAACCTCCACCCTTACGGGTGGCTATCAAGATCATCTCCACTGCCGAGGCCCCTGTGGAGTTCTCCCAAAAGTTTCTGCCTCGTGAGATATCATCACTCAATGCTACCTACAAGCACCTGAACGTGGTAGGCAGAGACCCTGAAACAGCCCATGCCCGTCCTGCCCATCCCCTGCTGCGCAGGACCACCCCCTTTCCCACCAGGGACCCTTATGCTTAGGGCCCGGCCCCATCCCGAGACTTTGATCCAATGCACTGGACAGCCCCTCCTTGGGTGATAGCAGGGGGAGCTCTGGCAGGTGCTGCTCTATGAGACCTACCAGAATAGCCAGCGCTCCTACTTGGTGCTGGAGTTGGCAGCCCGCGGTGACCTACTGGAACACATCAACGCAGTGTCAGACCACTGCTGCCGCCCAGGGCTGGGAGAGGAGGCGGCCCGTAGGCTCTTCTGGCAGCTGGTCAGTGCCGTGGCCCACTGCCACAGCTCAGGCATCGTGCACTGGTGAGCGGGCTGCCCGCCTGCCCCCACCTGCAGCAAGAGGCCCACCTGAGCCTGGGACCAGCACCACTTCCCTTTCCCATGCAGGGATCTAAAGTGTGAGAACATCCTGCTGGATGACCAAGGCCTCCTAAAGCTGACCGGTGAGCCTGTGGCCCAGCCCCACCCCCTGCCCTGGACTCCCTGACTCCTGATGCCAGCCTTCAACTTCTTCACGAGGCCCAGCCATTTTCAACTGTTGTCCCAGCCAGGACCCTAGCCTCTACCCTTGCCTGCTTCAGACTTTCTTCTTTTATTGCTTTAAAGACCCATTTATTCATTTGAGAGAGAGAGAGCGACGAGGGGCAGAGGGAGAGGGAGAATCCTGAAGCAGGCTCCCTGCTGAGCGCGGAGCCAGACGCAGAGGTGGGGCTCCATCCCAGGACCCTGAGATCCTGACCTGAGCCAAAACCAAGAGTGGGCCGCTCGGCTGAGCCACCAGGCTCCCTGCCTGCTTCAGAGTTTTGACCCCTACCTGGCTTGACCTTTAACCCTCCCAGGAGGCCCGGCCCCATGCTTGCCTACACCTGTGCTTGCAGACACCTACACATTCCGCACCTGCCCCGCAGCCATCCCTCCTGAGCCCACTGTCCCTTCCCCTCCTGCTCCTTCCATGGTCTACTGCTTGCCCGTGCCCTTCTGTGCGCCCCTGGCAGACTTTGGCTTCGCCAACCGGTCGGGCCTCAAGAATTCGCTGCTGAGCACCTTCTGCGGCTCTGTGGCCTACACAGCTCCCGAGATCCTCATGAGCAAGAAGTACAATGGGGAGCAGGCTGACCTGTGGAGCCTGTGAGTGGTACCCACAGTCTCCCCAGCAACAGGACCCATGGGAGGGCAAGAGAGGGGGCATGCCCTGAGGAGCCTGTGCCCCCAGGGGCATCATCCTTTATGCCATGGTGACTGGGAAGCTGCCCTTCAAGGACCACCAGCCCCACCGCAGGCTGCACCTGATGCGCCACGGCCCCACCTTCAGGCCAGGCACGTCCCCAGGTGAGAGAGAACACCCTGTGTCCCTCCCAAGTCCCAGCATCAGCCTGGAAAATGGGGCAGCAAGAGAGACCTGGGTCCAGGGGCACCTGGGTGGCTCAGTCGGTTGAGCGTCTGCCTTTGGCTCAGGTCATGACCCCAGGGTCCTGGGATGGAGCCTTGAGTCAGGCTCCTGGCTCAGCGGGGAGTCTGCTTCTCCCTCTCCCTCTGCCCTCTCTCTCAAGTAAGATCTCAAAAAGAGAGAGACCTGGGCCCAGAGAAGGGTCATCCTGCGGTGAGGGGAGTGGCAGTGGCACGGGAGGCTGACCTGGCACCCCACTCCCAATCCAGGCCGGCAAATGGACTGTAGCAAAGAGGTGAGAGGGCAGCGGGGCTGGGGGAGGTCCAGACTGACTCCCTGTCTGGAAAGGCAGTGGTGCCGGTGAGCTCTGAGCTCCGCACTGGCACGGGGCAAGCCACCTTCCCTCTCTGTGCCTCAATCTCATGATTGGTGAAGCATGGACTCCCTCCAGGCGTTTGGGCGACTGAATGGGATTCCTCCTCCAAACTGCCAGCACCGTTGGCAGTGATGGGCACGCGCAAGAGGGTAGGCAGTGGGAGGCCACAGCTGTGAGCCCTTGCCCAGAGTGCCAGGACCTGATCCGGGGCCTGCTACAGCTACGCCCGTGTGCACGCCTGGACCTGCAGCAGGTGGCCACCCACTGCTGGATGCTGCCCGCCGCGCAGGCGCTCTTCTGCACCATGCTCAGCTCGGCGCCAGGTAGGGTGGGGCCCCCAGTGGGGAGGGCAGGTGGTTGCCCCCTCAGTGCCCCTCCTGATCCCCACGGCTGTCGGTTGCAGAGAAGCCAGCTGAGTCCCAGCTGCCCGCAACCCTTGACCACACGGAGCCTGGCAGAGACTCAGAGCCTCCAAGGCCGCTCCTGAAGCTGCGGCGCCCTCAGCAGGGGGGAACTCACCGCGAGAGTGCTTCTGGCCTGGTGCCTGAGCCCCCAGAGGCAATCCCAAGAAGACGTGCAGGATCTGCCCAGCTGGGGCTCCGGAACATGGCGGCAGCCAGCCTGGGGGTGGGCGCCTCCAGGTAGCCACTGTCACTGAACTCCACGTTTGCCACCAGGACCACACCTGGGCACTACCTGGTCAACTGAGGAGTAGGCCCAGGCGAGGCCAGATAAAGCATTTATTTTATGGAGGGGATGCTGCCATCTCAGTGCAGGCCAGGGCAGCCAGCCACGGGGAACCCACTAGCACTCCCCATCCAGGGAGAACGCGAGTCCACGCACCTCCATGCCAGAGCTTTACTCGGGAGGAGGGAAACACAGGGGGTACCACAGAGACAGGAAATACCTCGTTTCCATGAGGCACCCAGCCTTGGCGGAACTGGAGTGGACCTCTGGCTTTGGAGGCAGTGACAGGACTGAGGACATGTGGAGTGAGGGTGCTGGGAAGCCAGGGCATCAGGCTGCACCCCAGTGCCAGAGGGCAAGGGAGTCCTGTGCCAAAGATAGCACCAAGAAGGGAGCACAGTGCGGGGAGGGCCACGCAGACAGCCTACCAGGCTTGGCCTGGCAGCTGCAGAACAGAGGGCCCACACAAGGGGCTGGGGGGAAAACAAGTTTCTTGGGCCCAAAGGGGGCTTCACGGGGGCAGAGGGTGGTAAGGGAAAAGGTCTGGCAAAGAGCAAGGCTGCACATGAGGAAGACTTTCCACGTGTGAGGCAAGGGGCTCTGAAACTCGAGGAAACTGACCAAGGATAGAGCCAAGTTAGTGGGGACAGCGAGCGCATCACGTCAGCCCCGGCCTGGAGAAACTAGCAAGGGACTGAGCAGGACGGGGGAGGGGATGAAGAGAGACAGTACCCAGCAAGCACTTCAAGGACAAACCAGGGGGGCGCAGCCCTAGGAGATCCCAGGACAGGCTGAGGCTGGTGAGAGTCACAAGAGGTCAGTCCTCTGAGGCTGGATCTCAGGCAGGGCAAGCCGAGGACCCCAGGACTGAAGACTCGGGTGGGACTAGCAGCAAAGGGCACTGCTTGCACCTGGATGCCCACCGATGCCCAGACCTCTGTAGTGCCCTTGGGGGCTGCTCAGGCTTGTATGGTTTATCTGTCCAGCCCCATCAGCCATCTTCCTAGAGGTACGTAACTGAGGGTCACAGGGTGTGACTAGCTCTGGCTGACCAGTGCTGCTCTGAGCAACCTGAGTTGCCAGAAGCAACAGGGCACGAGGAGGTACCCTGACCCTCGCAGGTTTACTGAGCATTCGCCCTAGACACCTCACCCTGAGCCTAAGTGTAGCTGTGCTTTTCAGCAAGGAACAACCTCTGAGCAAGGAGACCCAGAGGCCTGCAGGTGGCTGCAGGAAGGCCTGGACTGACGGGCTGGCAAAGGTGGGCCTGGAGCCGGTGGTGGGTTGCAAGGGCCTCAGGTGGGTGTAGCCCCCTCTGCTTGTGGTTCTGGGGCCAGCTCCTCTGGCCGCGCCCGGGTGTGCTGCTCCAGTTCCTGGTGGTCCAGCTGCTGCAGCTGCCTCTCCACATCCTCAGGCACCTGCACCTCCAGCAGGTTTTCCATGCCCGGCTCTGGCTCATCCCCAATGAGCACCTGCCAGTAGGGGAGGCAGGTGAGCACCTGGTTGGCACACCACAGACATCCACCCCCCTTCCCCACAAGCCCTGCACCCACCTGAATGAGCTTCTCACAAGTCACCTGCACGTCGGGCTCTGGCTCCCAGCTGTGTAGCTCACGCAGGATCAGGTAGGCTCCCTGGTTTCTCACCTGCTGCCGACCAGATGCTGTGGCTGTTAGCTGGAAGAGGGCAAAGGTTACACAGGTATCAGTGTACTCACGTATGTGTGGGCATGTTGCGAGGTGGCGTTAGCATAGCAGGACCCCTGCTCACCAGCATGATGGCCTCGAGGAGCATCTTGCGGATGTCAGCATCAGGCTCTCGTTGCTTGTCTGGAGGCAGATACTGTAGGTCAACAGGCAGCCCTAGAGGTGCATGTGGGGTTACTGCGTGCCAGCACGGGGTAGCTAGGCCAGACCCTCCTTGGTAAGCCCCCTCTGTGCTGAGCATCTCCCTGCTGGAAGGTTTCTGAAGGGGTCCCGATCTGTGCATCTGCCCGCCTCCCAGTGGCCTTCCCCCCTCCCCCGCCAACCCTGAGGCTCCCCCAAGCCACTCACGCTCCATCTCCTCCTCAGAGAAATCCTCAGGCCCAGCCAGGGGTAGCAGCAGGAAAGGGAGAATGTCCACCTGGGGCCCAAGCAACCACTCGTGGTGTCCTGAGGAGAAAACAGAAATGGGAGCCAGTCTAGAGGGGGGCCCCGAAGTGGTCTCTTTGCCCCAGCACCCCCCCCCAACACCGCAACACCCTCACCCCCATCACCACTCACGATGCTCGAAGCAGCAGTTTCGGAGAGTCCCCACCACCCCGCCCCTGCGCACCGAGGAGTCTGAGAATTGGGTAAGGGGCAGCAGCCGCTGGACCACGCACCTGGAGGGAGGGACCACTCAGTGCCATCCCTGTTCACTTGCACCCCCTCCCAGCGGGCGCCCCGGGCTTCACCTCTCGCGGTCCAGCAGGAAGGCCCGCGCCGCGGGACGCTGGCTGAGGTTGGAGAGCACTGGCCCCAGGTAATGCAGGGGCGCCCGGGCGTTGTAGTCGGGCGTGCACAGCGCGCGCACCAGCCGCTCCAGGCCCGACTCCCCCGGCTCCTCGGCCTCCAGCGCTGCCATCAGCGCGGCACACGGCGCCGGCTCGCGGCTGAGATTGGCCAGCGCGGCGGCCGCCTCCTCGGCCCAAGGCCACGCTGGGTCCAACGCGCGGTCCAGCAGGCGGGCAGGCAGCGCGGGCTCGGCCTCCAGCAGCCGCTCGTGCAGGCCGGGCTCGGCAGCCAAGTTGACGAGCGCACGAGCGGCGTCGCGGGCCGGGGCCGGGGCCGGGGCCGCAGCCAGCTCGACCAGCGCCCGCAGCAGCGCCGCCTGGCCGGCCAGCAGCGCCCCACCGGGCCCAGAGCCGGTCAGCGCCAGCACGTGCCGCACCGCCTCCGCCTGCAGGTCCGCCCGCGCCCCGGGCGCCAGGAAAGGCAGCAGCTTCGCCACCTCCGCCTCCACGCCGGCTTCCGGCATCGGCAGCCCTGCGGGAGCTAGCCCACCAGCCGGCGCGCGCGTGCCAGTCCGGGCCTCCCCCATGCCTGCCGGGGCCTCCGGGTCACCCACGCCGCCACCGGCATCGAGAACCTGCCCATCGGGGGAGCGGAAGCCGCAGCCCCCAATCAGAGGCTGCCGACTCTGCGCGCGGGGCGGGGTCGGCGTGCGGAGGCGGGGCCACGTCGAGGCCCGGGGCATTGTGGTCTGGGTGCCCAGCTCCCAGCCCCCTGGCCGCGGCGGGGGAGGAGGCGCGCGGACTGAAGCCGGGTGTCCCGGGGGTGACACCGGTCCCCGGGCCCGGCCAGCCACTGGTGGCTGACTGACGGCACCGGCCCCATTCCGTCGTGGGTGGGGCAGAGATCTGTCGCTGGAAGAGTCACATGATCAATTCCTTTAATTGACTTTCTAATGTTAGACCAGCCCGTGTTTCCGGCATAATCTCCGTTTGGTCATGATAATACTTAACATTTTTATATATTGTATTGAGTTTGCTAAAATTTTGTTTAGAATTTTTACATCCTGGTCTGTAGTTTTCATATAAAGCCCTAGTTTTCTTAGCAGAGTAGTACTGGCCTCTGAAGGATTGGGGGAATGTTCCCTCTTCAATTTTCTGGAAGAGTTTGTGAAACTAGTATTTCTTCCGTAAGTGGTTGGTAGCAATACCCAGTGAAGCCATCTGCGCCTGAAATTTCCTTCTAGAAAGATTTTGCGACCACTAATCCTTTAATAGACACATAGCTATTCAGGTTGCCACTTTCTTTGTGAGTGACTTCTGGTAGTTTGTGTTTTTCAAGGAATTGGTTCAGATGAAATTGGTTTAGATGAAAATTTAAAGTCAAATTCATTGGCATCAAGTTGTTCATAATCTTCCCTTATCCTTTTAACATCTGTACCATCTGTAGTAGTGTCACTTCTCATCCCTGATGCTGTCCATTTTTGACTTGTCAGTCTTGCCAGAGTTTTGTCCATTTTACTGACCTTAACTAAAGAATCATGTGGGATTCATATATTTTCTCTATTTTCTTTTTTGATTTAGTGAATGTCCACATTGACCTTACTATTTCCTTTCTTCTGCTTATTCCGGGTTTAATGTGCTGTTCTTTTTCTAAATTCTTTAAGGTAAAGGCTGAGATCATTGATTTGAGACATTTTCTAATACAAGATTTTGTCTCCATCTATTCCTTGCCTCACGGATTATGTTATGTACTTCTGCATAGGTTAATAGCCCTTTAGTAGATTGATATTATTTTTATTTCACTCTAAGGGCTGGAACAAAGCCTGTAGGGACAGTGATGCCCAGGAGAGCCATTGAGAGGGAATAGCATGCCCCTGAAGTCAGCAGGTAATCAGGTCCTAGAGCCGGGATTTGCCCCCAGGTGAGACCTACGGGCACCTCATAGCCTCAGTCCCAACCTAACCTTGTGTGAAAGCCACTTGCCTGAAATTGAGGAAGAGGGTAGACAAGTCCAAGGAAATGCCCACCTCTCCAAGGAAACCACATGCTCTGATACACAGATCCTGCCCATTAGAGTTGAAAATTTCTCAAGAAATGGAGTCGGAATATTATGGGTAATGTAGGTAATTGATGCCCTCTGGTGCATCTGGTGGGTACGTCTGACTGAGACAAAAGTGTGCATCTTCAGAGCCCACTGGTGTCCAGAGGCGAACCAGCAAGCACTTGCTTTGACTGATTCAAGGAAGTGTTTACAGTAATCACCAGGTATGGAGCCTTAAATATTTCCAAGATAAATTAAAAGATACAAAGTTACTGGAAGTAATTTCAAAGTTCAAGTTACAAGAATTGTACAAAGAACTTCCACATACCTTGGACTCAGACACCTCAGTCAAGTTCCTGAGTTACCCCGCTTATCCCAATAATGACCTTTTAGCAGAGGGTGCTCTCACGAGTACTTTCAGTCTCCTTCAACTGGTAGCTACTCTTCAGTCTTTGACTTTCATGCCCTTGACACTTGCAGAATACCAACGAGCTCTTTTGTAGCATGTTGCTCAGTTTTTGTCTGGTTGCCTCATGATTAGATTCAGGTTATATATTTTTTGGCAGGGGGAAGCGCCTAGGTGGCTTAGTCGATTACATATCTGCCTTCAACTCAGGTCATGATCTCAGGGTCCTGGGATGCAGTCCCGCATCAGGCTCCCTGCTTAGTGGGAGGTCTGCTTCTCCCTCTCCCTCTGCCCCTCCCTCTGCTCGTGCCCTCTCTCAAATAAATAAATTAATTTTAAAAAAAAAAAGGAATACTATGGAGGTGAGGCTGAGCTCTTTTCGTTGAGTCCCATCAGTTTGCTCCCACAGTGGAGATGTTTATTTTGATTACTTAAGGTGAATTGCCCAGGATTCTTCACTGGTAGGTTACTCTTTTTCTCTTTGTATTTAGTAAATGTTTTATGGGGAAATACTTTGAGACTATGTAAATAGTCCATTCCTCGTCCACCTTTCACTCACTAGTTTTTGCATGTAGTTTTTAATTGTTTATTGTAGGGCAGAAAGCTTTACCTATTTTTGTTCATTTATTTGTTTATGTCAATGAAGACTCATGGAGTCTTATTTATTAGTGTTTTTAAAGTTAATTTATTGAAGTAATCTCCACACCCAGTGTGGAGCTCGAACTCATGACCCCGAGATCAAGAGTCACTCGCACTTCCAATCCAGCCAGGTGCCCCTCATGGAGTCTTATTTTATTCAAAGAAATAGAACACTTTACTCTCATTATTGTAATCCAAAATTTGGCCATTGGAAGGACCTTCAGGGATGGTCCTGTGTATTATTTATTTATCTATTTTTTAAAATTTATTTATTAGAGAGAGAATGAGAGATAGAGAGCACAAGAGGGGAGAGGGTCAGAGGGAGAAGCTGACTCCCCGCTGAGCAGGGAACCCGACGTGGGACTCAATCCCGGGACTCCAGGATCATGATCCGAGCCGAAGGCAGTCGCTTAACCAACTGAGCCACCCAGGCACCCTCTGTGTATTATTTATTTTATTATTTAAGATTTTACTTATTTGAGAAGAGGGAGAAGAGTGCAAATCGGAGAAAGGGGCAGGGAGGAGCGGAGAAAGAGAGGGAGAGAGAATCTGAAACAGACTCTGTGCTGAGCATGGAGCCTGATGTGGCGGGGCTCAGTCAAACCACTGAGAGATCATGACCCCAACAGAAACTAAGAGTCGGGCGCTCAACCGACTCAGCCACCCAGGCGCCCCTCCTGTGGTATTATTTAAAATAGCTTTATTGAGGGGCGCCTGAGTGGCTCAGTCGTTAAGCGTCTGCCTTCGGCTCAGGTCACAGTCCCAGGATCCTGGGATCCAGCCCTGCATCGGGCTCCCTGCTCCGCGGGAAGCCTGCTTCTCCCTCTCCAACTCCCCCTGCTTGTGTTCCCTCTCTCGCTGTGTCTCTCTCTGTCAAATAAAATAAATAAAAAATATTTTTAAAAAAATAAATAAATTCAATGTTTTTTGTATATTACATGATTAATTTTGTAAACGGTAGTAAAATGCATATCACAAAATTGGCCATTTAAACCATTTTTTAAGTAGGTTCTACGCCCAAGATGGGACTTGAACTCATGACCCCAAGATCAAGAGTCGTTATGCTTCACCAACTGAGCCAGCCAAGGCACCTAAACCATTTTTAAGTGTACAATTCGTAGCATTCGTTACACTCACAATGCTGTGCAACCATCACCACCATGTATTTCCAAATTGTTTTCACCACCCAACAGAAACTGTAACCTTTAAGCATGCATTTCTCCCTCTCTCCTCCCTCCAATGACCTCTAATCTACTTTCTAAATAGATTTCTCTCTTCTAGGAACCTCAACAATACACCTTGTGCAGCTGTAACGACGTCAAAAACCAAGGAGTGTGTGTAGTTTTATGCCACTTTATCACCTGTGGAGACTCATGGAACCAACGTGGCCGTCAAAATAGGGAGCAGTGTCATTGCCACGAAGACCTCCTTGTGCCGCGCATGCTCCCAGCCTTCCCCCAGGGAACCAGAAACGTGTTCTTCCTCTCTGTAATTCTGTCACTTCACAAGTGTGACAGAAATGGAATCACACAGCAGATGACCCCTGGAGGTCATCACGCGTGTCAAACATTTCATTTTTATGGCCTCGGAGTACCCCTGGGTGTGCATGTGCCAGTGGAGTAGCCATTTGCCTGTTGAAGGACCTTTGTGTCATTTCCAGGGTGAGGCTATTACAAATAAATCTGCTGTAAAGCACTGGTGTCCACGTTTTTGTATGGACACAAATCTTCATTCCTCTGGGATAAATGCTGAGTTGTAGGTATGACTGCTGGATTGTAGGTCCTGGTATGTTCAGTTCTCGAGAAACTGCTGAATGGTTTTCCAGAGTGTGTGGACCATTTTGCATTCCCACAAGCAAGTATGGAGACCCAGTTGCTCCGAATATTCACCAGCATTTGGTGATGTCAACTCTTTTTATTTTAGGTACTAATTTGCGTTTCTCTAATGGCTAGTGATGTGGAGCATCTCCTCTTTGGTGAAATGTCTGCTTCTTTTGCCCATTTTCGAGTGGGATTGTTTGGTTTCTACCGTTAATTTTGAAAGCTGTTTTTTGTTTTTTGTTTTTTTTCCATTCTAGCTAGATGTTCTTTGTGGACAGGCCATTTGCAGGCATTTTCTCCTGGTCATGGCTTGTCTTCCCATCCTGCTAACAGGGCCTTTCACAGAGCAGAAGGTTTAAAATTTGATAAAGTCCAACTTTCTGATTTCTTTCATATATGGCGTTTTGGGCATCATGTCTGAGAATACTTCATCAGTTGCTCATCCAGAAGATCTCTTATATTTCCTTCTCAATTTTTCCTAGTTTTACATTTAAATATACAATTCACTTTGAGGTTTGTTCCTAATTTTATGGTCTCTTTTGCCATAAATTTTTAAGATTTTATTTGAGAGAGAGTGGGAAAGCATGAGCAGGGGGGAGGGGCAAAGGGAGAGGGAGAAGCAGGCTCCCTGCTGAGCAGGAAGCCCGATGTGGGACTCGATCCCAGGACCCTGGGACCATGACCCAAGTGGAAGGCAGACACTTAACCGACGAGGCCACCTAGGCGCCCCTTGCCATAAATTTTTTTTTTAAATCTGCAAATATGTCTATCTTTTTCTCCTGAGTATTCTGAGTGAATATTTTTCTAAATTACCTTTTGATATATTTATAGTTTCTACATTGCAATCTTCAAATCATCTGAACATTACTTTTGTAAATGATGTGAGAAAGAGGTCTAGGGACACCTGGGTGGCTCAGTTGGTTAAGCGAATGCTTTCAGCTCGGAGGGGAGCCTGCTTCTTCCTCTGCCTCTGCCCCTCCCCTTGCTTGTGCTCTCTCTTCTCTCTCTGACAAATAAAATCTTTAAAAAAAAGGGGGGGGTCTGACTTTGTTTTCTATCTACATAATCTGTGCTAGGCATTATTCTTAAGTGTGTTAGATATAAAGTTCATTTAATTCTGACAGCAGTCCTGCGCAGCCTCTGCGCATCATCATCCCCACTTCATACATGGGAAACCAAGGCTCAGAGAACTGGGTAACTCATTAAGGCCTAACTCGGTTAGGAAGTGAAGAGAATACATGTATTTGAGATTTTGATTTCTTCTACAGTGAAAATTTCATTCCAGTTTTTTGTACATTTTTTTCTGTTGGGTTGTGTGATTTTTTTTGTTATTGATTCATTGAAGTTCTTTATGTATTTTTTTTTAAAGACTTTATTTTTATTTATGTGACAGAGAGAGACACAGCGAGAAAGGGAACACAAGAGAGGGAGAAGCAGGCTTCCCGCCGAGCAGGGAGCCCGATGTGGGGCTCGATCCCAGGACTCTGGGATCATGACCTGAGCCGAGGGCAGACACTTAACGACTGAGCCACCCAGGCGCCCTCTTTATGTATTTTGGAGATGAGTCGTTTATAGTTACATGTATTACAGATATCTCCTCCCACTCTGGCCTTTTTATTCTCTGAATGGTATAGATGAACAGATTTCTTAATTTTAAGATAATTATATATTAACATGTATTAATATATACTGTTTCCCTTTATAATTAGTGAGTTTTTTAAACTTGTTTAAATTTGCCCCACTTTCTCATGTTGATATTTTTTAAATATATTTTTATCTATTTTTAATTTACTTTTATTTATTTTAAGTAAACTCTACACCCAACATGGGGCTTGAACTCACAACCTTGAGATCAAGATTTGCACACTCCACCGACTTAGCCAGCTAGGTGCCCCTCTGATGTTGGTAATTTTAAAAGAATTTATTGCTTTTATAATTTAAAGGAAACACCCACAGAAGCAGACTACTATGGGCCCCACAGTCCTTGTTTTAGCAGGCACGGATCCTTTTATACAAATGTCATGTCTTTGGTTCTCCAGACCTGGCAATTCTTGCCCTACTTGGCCCAGGAAAGGGCCACCCTCTCCACAGCCCCTTAACAAGAACCCTGGCACAGTTTGGGGGTTGTGGAGAAGGTAGGAGAGACAAATTCTATCCAGAACACCACTGAGAAAAAAACTTCTAAAGTTGGAGGCTGAAAACATTCAGAGGGAAGAAACTGCTGTTCAATGACCCAAAAGGAGGATGTAAAAGCTAGAACAACCCTTGACAAAGGCAGACCCAGGGCGCCTGGGCGGCGCAGTCAGTCAAGCATCCGACTCTTGGTTTCTGCTCAGGCTGTGATCGCAGGGTCATGGGATCGAGCCCCATGTTGGACTCTGGGCTGGGGCAGAGTCTGCTACAGATTCTTTCTCCCTCTCCCTCTGACCCTCCCACTTGTGCTCTCCTAATAAATAGATAAATCTTTAAAAAACAAATCAAAGGCAGACCTAATAGCAAGTGCACACATGGGCCGTGTGCCCCACAAGCTGTGGGACCAGTGCCCTGGGAGGTCCTGACAGCTCAGAAGGAAGCCAAGGCCCTCTGAGACCCTGCACTTCACATACAAGTTCGGTCTCGTGGCAATTTTTAGATAGAAGGGTCCAAAGGATGCTGCCCCTTTATTGCTACTTGAATAAAGCACATGGGACTCCATCAATTCTTCTCCCTTCCAGCCCAAGGGTAGACTCTGGTTTGAAGTCTGCAGGCCCCCCACCCCACTCAATACACACACACACACACACGCACACACGTGTGTGTGGCCTAGACCCTCCCCATCCCTCCATGCTTGGCCATTCACTGGCCCAGGAGTCCCCACTCCCATCTGACCCCAGTAATTTATTGATAAACACAGGCTGAGTGCCTGAGCAGGGACATGCCCATGCGATGGGTCCAGCTCCTGGCAGACAGACCCACCCCCAGCAGGAATGCTGCTCCACCAAGGGCTGACCACGCCAGCCATGCCCCCAGCTCCTGCCTTGCAACTGGCCACTGGCAGATTCATCACACCATTGAGACTGCCCTGCTCACACTTGCAGCCCCCAAAGATGAAGGCGGCACCCTTTTTTCTGGCCATGGCCTCTGGACTTTATTTCCAGGGGAGAACAGCTGGCTGGAGAGCCACATCTTGACTCCATGCTGGAGGGAAGGAGGGACTGGGGCTACCAGCCTGGTCAGCTGTAGCTGTCAGGGTCTCTGTATAATCTGGCAGAAAGTAGCGCTGCAGGGTGGGTTGCAGGAGCCGTGGGGGCAGCGGACGGGCAGGCCTGGGCCAGTCCGGGGGGAAAGGCTGAACTTCTACCCTCGGCAGCGGCAGCTTCAGCATCCGGATGGAGCCACTGAGGGTATGGCCCGCCCAGAGCCGGGACCGCATCCAGCCTGCGGGCCAGCAGGTCAGTGAGGTCTCAGGGTGGGGTCGATGCCCACTGGGACCCCGGTTAGGGTGGAGGCAGATGTCGGGGCCCAATTCCACCCCTGTCCCCACTCACCCCTCAGTCTCATTGGAGACCTCTGGACCTTGGCCTCCTGAAGCCGGAGGATGGGATGGTGCCTGGAGGGGTAAGGAGTAGGTTTGGCCCAGCCAGCCCCTCAACTGCCCCCCACAGGCCCCGTTCCAGCCTGGGGGCCCCCTCACCAGCGATCCCGGGGCTGGGGCAGTACGGTGTTGGACTCGGGTGGGCGCGGGCTCAGGCGCAGTCTCTTGAGCTCCTCCTGCGGGAACCCTTGCTCGAGCTGTGCTCGCTGCTGTTCGCAGAAGAAGTTGAGCGCATCGATTGGCCCCAGGTCCAGCATCTGTGACCGGGACCAGTCCGTCTGCGCCAGCGGCAGCGGCTCTTCCGGCAGCGCGGCGGGTGCTGAGGAGGGCGCGTGGACCTCGGAGGGGCAGAAGTGCGGCAGCGCCTCGGACAGCGTGTGTTTGCCCCGCCGGAGACGCGTTGGTGAAGGCATCGGCTTGGCTCTGGACTCAAGGCCAGCCAAGTTCAGCTCCCCGGGTGAGACCACAAGGGAGGGTCCCCAGGAATGGTCTGAGGGTGTCCTTGAGACATGAGGTGACCCAGCGAGCACTGAAATCCGCGACAGGGTCTCCTTGGGAGGAGATGGAAACACCGAGGTCTGGGAGACCTTGGGCAGCATCTCGGACAACTTGGCCACGGAAGGCTGCAAGTGCTCCGTCTGTGGAGGAAGCAGCCAGTGGACAGTGCCCCCAAGCCCAAGGCAGAGGCTGCCCCTGGCCCCAAGCTTGAGATCTGGCTGCAGACTCCTTCCTGGGGAGGAGCAGGATGATCCCCAGAAATGGGGGGTTGGGAGACAGAAGACGACCCATGAGGCACAGATACAGAGCAAGGCAAAGAGCCGGCCAGCCTCACCTGGATCCCCCGCTCCTCCCCTCAAAGACCTGGGGAAAGCCTGGGGGGGGGGCGGGGTGTGGGCAAGACAGGAGGCTCCACTGCAAGCAGCCTACCCCACCCCTGCCCCCCAGGACCTGCAACCTCTGGATCATTTCCTCCAGCTTCTGGCAGCAGCATTGGCGCAGGGCAGCCTTGGAGTCAGCGTCCGGGCCCTGGACCCAGGTCATCATCTCCTTGAACAGGAAGCCCTGCGGATCCTGAAGGCCCAGCCCATCCAGCAGTTTCCTGAGCTCGGGCCTGGGACAGGTGTGAGCAGCTGATCCAGAGGCCTCCCCACCCCCCCACCCCCACTAGCGGGTTGGACGAGTAGGGAGCCAGACTCACCTGCAGGAGGCAGGCGAGTAGAGGAAGTAGGACATGAGTTCCAGCACCACGTCGCGGGACTCCAGGGAGCAGGCCAGGAGGAGCTGCAGAGCCAGCATCACGAACTGCCTCTGCGTCTGGTCCTGGGCGCACAAGAGCCAAGCGCGTCGAGGCGGCGGAGCGCAGGGCCCCGGGCAGGCCGGTGGGGCGGGGCTAGGGGCGGGGCTAGCGGCGCACCTCGAGGCTGGGGGGCTGGTCCAGGTTGAGCAGGCGCAAGAGGACGCCCTGCAGCTGGTTACGAAGGTCTCTGCTCGTGTCTGGCAGCAGCCTCAGCAGCGCTTTCAAGATGTGCACGCCGTCTGCCCAAGAGGCCTCGTACAGCAGGTCCACGAACAGCGAGGCCAGGCCCTCCACCGTGCTCACCTCGGGGTAGGCCTGCGGGTACCGCGTGCTGAGGCCCTGCCCTCCCCGCCCCCCCCCGCCAGCCTGGGCTTCCCAGGTGCCCGAGACCCCCGAACCTCCAAGGTGAAGATGGGGAACAGCTTTTTGAACCAGTTCTGGCCGACGAAAAAATGCAGGAACCTGGGCAGATGCCCGTAGCGCTCTTCCCAGAGCGAGTGCCCGTGGGGGTGCCCGGGGTGGAGAAAGCAGGTCTCAGTCCTGGTGGCGCTGTGACAGTGCGCGCGCTTCGGGGTCAAATACTCGGAGTCCTGCGGGAGCGGCAGCAGCTGCAGGCCCCCTCTCTCCACCCCGCGCCGCGCTCGGCAGCCCAGCCCCCAGCAGGCGCCTACCTGAGCCTCCGTCTCCTCGGACTCGGAGAGCTGCGGAGGTGGGCTCAGGGTATCTGAGGACCAGTCCACATACCGCTGCCCCTCCTCCTCCTCCTCCTCTTCCCCCAACCACCCGGTCAGCTTCTGCTGCCACCTGGCCGTGTGCCACCCGATGCGCCGCGGCAGCCACAGGTCATCCTGGCGCCTTCCTGGCTGCACAGGGGAGAGCACAGGCGGTCGCTGGCACACTGCGCTGCGGGGACCGCAGACCCCCTCCTGCAGAGCCCAAGGATGAGGCCCCCCCAGGGCCCCCTTGCCTTGCTTCTGCGGCTGGTGTGCCGGGCGAGGGCTCCGAGGCCGCTGACCTCCCGGTGAAGCCACATCTGCTGCAGCACCACCGAGTTGGGCACGCTGCCGGGGAAGCTGACGGGCCGCGGCAAGTCCTGGGGTGGCACACAGCACGGGGGCTGAGACCTGGACGCCACCCCACCCCAGAGACCACCTGGCAGAGCAGCCCCAGCGCCAGCCCCGGCCCGCCTGCCCCTGCCGGGGCTCACACCCCCCGTCGGAGCCAGCGTGGGTTAAACCTCTGAACATCAGAGACTGGGAACTAAAACTTCATCCCGTTTTTGAAAGAGGAATTACATGGAACTGGGCCAAGACTGAACATAGACCTGCTGCCCCTGCGTTCAAAAAAAAAAAAAGTGGACACTGCAGAGCCCCTGGCAGGCTCAGTCCGTGGAGCACACAACTCCTGATCTCGGGGCTGTGGGTTCGAGCCCCACATTGGGTGTAGAAATTGCTTAAAAGTAAAATCCTAAAACAAAAGAAAAGAAATAAAAAAGAAAAGTGGACACTCTGCAAAAGCTATTTTTCCTGTAACCAAACTAAAGTACTCAGAAAACCAGTGAAGTATACAATTTAATTACATTTTCCCATAACTGGTGTAAGTTTCCTAGTGCTCCTGCAACTTGCCAAGACAGTCACCTGGCTTTTACTCCTCAGCAAGATTCGATCTGGGTTGCTACCAAATCTGTGCTCCCCAAATTGCAATTCTAAGACCCCAAGTAAATGCTTTTGTTTTATTTCAGTTCTGCCTCTTTTCTCAGTTGACACCCAAAACACACAGGCAAAAAAAAAAAAAAACTTTAGCAATCAGGCGGAAGGGCAGTCAGTGAGACATCAGCTGTGATGACTGAGGAGGAAGTCTGGGCAGCTGACAGTGCCAGAATATGCTTGGAGAGAGGCTTATCTGGGTGTCTGGGGTGAGAGAGGTTGGGAAGGTGGTAGATTGCAAGGGGCCAGCTCCCGTTAACTTCACTCCTCTAAAGGGAGAGGACTCTGGTCTTCCCAAGTCCATATAGGACCCACCCAGCACTTGAACTGGGGAGGAGGTGTGTAGGCACAATCAGCTGGCAGAGGCTCTGGCTTGGCCTGGTGTCTCCCCCAGGAATCTCTGGCTCTCTGGCAGCTGGTCCCCAGAGAACAGGGCTGGCCAGGAGGTGGGTGGAAGGCTGTGGGCGGGCATGGCTCTCAGGTCAGATTTCAGCACAAGATTTGCGCAAAGGGAAGATGGGGGGCATAAGAAGGCTGCCCCTGGTGACAAACACCTCCCTGGGGGGGGGTGCCTCTGGGAAGAGCGAGGGGCTCTCACCTTGTAGGGCCGAATGGTGGCAGGAAAGAAGCCTCGGAGGTTGGAAAGAGGCTCCTTGGGCCGCCTCTTCATCAAGAGGGGGTCCTGGGGACAGGAGAAGGGCTCAGAGCCAAGCACAGACCCTCAGTGCCCCTGCAGCCCTGCTCTTGGGTAGGCAGCACCGCCTGCCCCTCACCCCGTGTTGTAGGTGGAGGGCCGGTGGGCCTGGGACCACAGGCTTCTCCCCTTGGAGCCGCTCCAAATGCAGCTGCAGGTCCAGACTGAGGCCCAGGTTACTGCTCAGGGAGGAGCGGGCCAGCAGCTGGAGTGAGGGAGACGTTTGTCACCAGGTGGCCGCAGGGTCATGGGGTCGGGGCAGAGGTGGGAGGGGTGGGAGGCCTTACCTGGGATGCCTTGCTGTGGACCCCCCGGTGTATGGGTGGGATAGGCAAGGGGCCTCGGGGAGGGTGGACAAAGCGCTGGCCCACAGCTCCCGGGTCCTGTCGGGGGAGGGCTGCGGGCACTGTCGGGACTTCAGTGCAGACTCCGGCCTTCCAAAGACAGCTGGCAGCTCTGTGTAAGGTGCACATGTCCCAGGTCTCTCTCTCCACGGTGAGGGTCACGGTACTCCACCGCTGGAACTCTCTTCCAGAAGGCACGTCCTGGGAGGGATGCAGGGGAGATGGGCAGTGTGGGAGGCCCTGGGCAAAGGGAGGGGCTGGAGTCAAGGCTGAGGCTGGGGGAGGCCTCACACCCACCAGCAAGCCAGGGCCATAGATCAGGTGCAAGTAGTTGTCAAACGCCTCCTGCTGCTCCTGCTGGGAGGGTGGGGGCTGGGCTGCCGGGACAACCAGCCCCAGACTCAGCTGCTGAAGGTCTTGATCCCGGGCAACTAGGGCTTCCAAGTCCTGGGGGAGGGGTCAGGGATCAGCTCATTCCTCCTTCAGTCTTGCCATGTGCTTCCCAGACAACCACAGGGACCCCAGGCCTATCCCAAGGACTGAACGGGAGTGGCCTGGGCCTGGGCCAGGTGCAGGGTTGGGGCTTTGGGGTGTTGAGGGGTCAGGACCCACCCCACCTCCTCCAACACTGGCTGCTGAGGTGTTGCCGTCTGGCGATGGATGAAAGACAAGTGTGTGCTGCAGACAAGGATGGGCACAGGTGGGACACTGCTGTCATCACTGGTGGGACTGGGCAGATGCTGGGACAAGGACCTGGGGGTGGGGGTGAGCAGGCCTCTGGCAGGAGGAGGGATGCCAGGGCTGGGATCGGGGATTGGGGTGGCCTGTGTGGCCTGGGAGCTCTGGGGCCTTGTGCTGGGGTCACCCGGCCAGGCCCCGACTCAGGGGAGCTGGGCAGGGGCCTCCAGGACAGCTCAGCTGGGCCTGCCGGCAGACCTAAGACTGGCCACCCCATGGAGATTGGCGAGCCTCTGCAGCTGGGCTGAGGTCAGCGACTCCTGGCTGGTCAGTGGTAGTAGAGGGTCATCCACCACATCAGGGACCTTCTGGCACAGCTTCTGAACAGGAGAAAGGAACCTATAGCCCTGGCCTCAGGAGGCTTTTCCACCCACAAGAACCCCCCCCACACACACACACCATCCTGTGCTCACTGTGTACCTTAACCAGGTAGGATGTGGGCAGGTAGAGCCTATGAGATACCAGGCAGAGTCGGGAGCCCAGAGCCAACACCAGGTCCCCACTGTTGCTGCTGAAGGTCAGGCCCTGTGGGGCACCATTCAGCTGCAGGAGCCTAGAGGGGTGTGGAAGGCCAAAGTCCAGCCTTGCTCCACAAAGTAGGAAGCTGAAGCCCTAGCAGGGGCAAGGCCCTGTTCCCCTGTCCAGACTCTAGGCTCTGGTCGGGGTAGAGGTAGGAGAGCCCGCCTGCCACCCACGCGCTCCCAACCCCTCACTCCCTCCTTCCCAGCCCCAGCCCCAGCCCACCGCAGCAGGCGGTTTTCCGCCGTCCAGATGCGGACGGTGCAGTCCAGGCTGGAGCAGGCATACAGCTTGAGCGTGGGACAGCAGCACAGGCCTGAGGGACAAGGCTCAGGTGAGGGACCAGGGCCATGCGGCGCCTCGGGCTTTACTTCTGCCCTGCCCCCTCACCAGTGATGTGGTCCGTGGGGTCATCCTGGGACCGGTGATCATAGCGGGGGCTGTCGCCCAGGCCAAACTGCACCAAGCCATAGGTGGCGCTGTCCGGATCCTCAAAGCCCACCGTGATCCGCTTCCCAAGCGCACAGAGCCCCACGGCAGGGTGGCCGCAGGAGAAGGTGCGCAGCAGGCTCAGGCTCTCCTCCGCATAGGGGTAGACGCGCCACATCTTCACTGTCAAGTCTCCGCCTGCAGGGGCGGGAGCCAGGGCTGGGCCTTTGTGGGGTAGGGAAGGCATTCCCAGGCCATCTACGGGGGGAGGGGAGATATGGACCGGAGGACACGATGCTGTTCCAGGTAGACGCTATGGCAGTGATGGGGCCCGGGCTGTGTGCCTCGGTTTGGAAGACGGTCTTCGACCAGCGCCACTCCAGGACTGACAGGGTGCCATCCGTGTGCCCCACCACGGGCAGGTACCTGTGCAGGACATCAGCCTGTGGGCTCGGGCACCGTCGCCCCGCCCCCACCGTCCGGCTCCGGTACCCACCGGTTCTTGTCCTTCCAGGCCCGGGCTGCATCGCTCCGGCACGGCTCCCCCCCATGCTGGCACACGGTCTCCCAGCCGGCAAACGCGCTGCCGGGGTCTGTGAGGTGGCTGTAGAGGTGCAGGCAGCAGGGCCTGGGCGCAGGCGCGGGGGGCGGGCACACGCGGTGCAGCACGCGCATGGGGCAGCGCGCCGCGCTGGCACACACCAGGTGTCCGGCGCGTGTCAGCAGCCACAGTGCTTCGAGCGGCAGGCAATAAAGCACTGAGGCTGCGCAGTCATCGGGCTCGAGCAGCAGCGCGCTCACGGCGCGCCCGGTGGCGACCGACACCAGGTAGACCGAGCCGTCGGCGCATGCGCACACGAGGCGCGCCGGCAGGAGCGGGTGCGGGGGCGCGGAGAGCGGCGGCACCACCTGCACGTGAAGCACTGGCGCAGACAGCTGCGCCAGCGGCGAGTAGAGCTCGCGAAGGCGCCACAGCTCCACGCTGCTGGCGCTCAGGGAGAGCACCGGCCAGCTGGGGCCCGCGGGCGCCAGCAGGCGGTTCACGCGCCCAGACGCCACGTCTCGGCCCCAGCAGTTCAGCGCCACCTCGCCCACCTGTGCTGCCGCCTGCAGGTCCCAGGTGCGCAGCGTCCCGTCCTGCGAGGCCGACAGCACCAGGGACGTGTTCGGGAGCACAGCCAGAGCTGTCACCGGGCCTGTGGGAGGGACATGGGTCACTCGGGCTCCCCCGGGGGGCTGGGAAAGGGGAGCCGTCAGCCCGGGGTGCAGCCAGTGCAGAGAAGCTTGGCCAGAGCCCAGAGCTCTTTCCCGTGGGCCGTGCACAGGGTGGAGAGAGAAGGGGCCTCAAGGGCGGCAGTGGCATGGCGCACCTGTGTGGCCCATGAACACCATCCGGATCCGCCAGTCAGCCTCCCACACCTTCACCGTGCTGTCGCGCGAGGCTGTCACCATGGCCTCTACCTCTAGGCAGTAGGCCAAGTCCAAGATAGCGCTGAAGGGAAGGAGGCGGCCCTGGCCGACTCTGCGCCTCCCAGTGTGTGAGCCCCTGTGCCCCTGCCATGACCCGCTTGCCCTCCTGGATTTGCCTCTCCCTGCCACCCTCCCTTTCTCCCGGTCCCTAGGTGCCTGCTCACGTTTTGTGCAGGTCCCGGCGCACGTCTATGAGGGCCCAGGTGTGCAGATCAAAGGTGAGCACAGCGGAGCCATAGGCCGCGAAGCAGCGTGGGACTTGGTGGGACTGCAGGGGCCCCAGAACCAAACGGGTGAGTGTACCAGTAGGGCTTGGTGGCAGCTGCAGAGGCGACCCACATGGCACCAGGCGGCGACCCCCTGAACAGAACTTCCAGAGCACCAGGCTGCCACCTGCCCCTGCCACTAGCAACAGCCCCAGGCTGGGTACCGGCAGACAGCAGAGGGGCTCGTGGCCCGGCACCCTGCCCACCCCTGGCTTGCTCAGCCACAGCAGGCTGAGGTCAGGCCTTAGGATGGCCAGCCCCTTGGGGCCCCAACCCACAAAGCGGCTCTCAGCATCCAGCGGGCCCGGCACTGCCACCAGCCCCGTGAGCACGGCTGGGGCCTGTAGCTTCTCGTATGCCCATCCGTCCTCTCTGTGCACGTGCAGGTGGCCTGCACCATCGAGCACCACAAAGCGTCTGCCCACTGGGTCCTGGGCCACTGAGCACAGCCCAGCTGCCACTTTCAGGTGGCGCAGCGGCTCCAGCCCATGGGTCAAGCGTGCCACACACAGCTCACCTCTCTTTTCCTGTGGGCCAGGATGAGCAGGCCTGCAGTCAGCTGGGGGGTGGGGGCGGGGGGCTGGAGAGGTAGTGCACCTGCCCAGGGGAGCCAAGGGGACCCGGGCTGGGGGCATACTAGGGACACCTAGGGGAAGAGATGGGCCAGAAGAGGCCTCAGTGCAGGGCCCACAGGCAAGCCCCACCTTTTCTACAAAGTCATGGAGGCCCGCACGTAGGAACAGCCACAGCTGGTGGGCACGGGCACGTAGGGTCATATTCTGCCACCGGGAGCTGCTGGTAAAAAGCCGTGGGACTGGCTCCGAAAGCACCTCTGCAGATCAGCAGTAGAAGCACTCTCACCATGTGGTCTTGGACCCCTAACCCTGGAGGCTGTAGGCAGGCCCTCTCTGGAGGGCCCTGCCGGGTTAAGGGACTGCCCAGGGAGTGTGGCGTGGCAGCAGACAGAGCTCCTGCCTGAGCAAGACGTGCCTGCAGCCACGTGGGCATCTGGGGGCGAGGCCAGGCCACCTCACCGTTCTTTTCCTTGAGCAGCCCTGGGTCTGGGATGTCGCAGCTGTCAGCGTCACACACGTCCAGGTCCAGCAGCAGGCTGTCGCCTTCTACTGAATAGGGGTTGCTCGCCTCTGAGCCTTCAGTCTCCATTCTAGCGGCGGCAGATCCAGGCGGCTCAACGGACCCTAAGACCGTTGCTAGGCTACCAGACGCCGTAGGCCCCGCCTTCGACGCAGACCCCACCCCCAACACAGCACAGAGCCTGGGTCCCCACTAAGTCACAGAAATTTTTATTGGAAACAAACAGCTGCAGCAAAGTGACACTCAGTGCACGCTGCCCAATGGGCGAGGTGGCGGGTGGGGGGGGGGGAGGGGGTACAGGTGGGCGCCAGGGGCTGGCCAAGCCCAGGGTGGTGACCGCAGGGGCCTGCTGACTGGATCTCAGACCCTTTGGGCTGGAGTGTGCAGGCCCACTCCTGATCCGGCACAAAATACAAAAATAAACTCTGTAGTCCAGCTGTCCCTGCCTTTGTCAGTTCACTGGGACAGGCAGTGGCCTTCCCACCAGGCCCTGTGCTGTCCAGGCCAACCACAACAGGGGCAGCCGGAGCCTGTGGGGGTGAGTAGACATCTGTAGGCGGGAGCCAAAGGGCTAGGTGGGCGTGGCCTTGGGCGGCGCTGGAGCCGTGGCAGGGCCCGGGGCTGACCACCAGCTGGGGAGGCCCTGGGGCCCCTCGAGTGGGCAGTTCCAGGCACTGGTTGAAGCGGAATGAAGCTGGGGCCTCTGCTCCTCACCCTCACATACAGATCACCGGGACCCTGGGTAGAAGGGGGCACACAGCTCAGAGGAGCCAACACCCAGGAGATGAGGCAGAGGGGTGCCCACTGTCCCACCCAGCCCTGGCTCCAGTGACCACACACCTGTCCTCTATGGCGCTCGTCTCCTCAGGTCCGCCCTCACTGCCTCCACCTCCGCGCTCCTCCTCCTCCTCCTCCTCCTCCTCCTCCCCCAGCTCCATGTCCAGCTCGTTGCCTGCCTCCGACGGGGTATAGGTGGATCCACTGAGGGAGGTGTGGGGACTGGTCTTAGGACTGCCTATCCCTGGCCAGTTGCTGGCCCCAGGGAGAATGTCCAGGGAGGACAAAGTCGGGGGGGGGGGCACAGCTGGGGGAAATGGTGTGTGGGCCCAAATAGGAGCTAAAGGAAAGGAGGTGGACAGGGGCCAACCTGATAGAGCGGCAGCTGAAGAAGACAATCCGCTTGAGCCGCTTGTTGTAGAAGAAGTAGTTGAAGGACCAGAGGCTGCCATCCTCCCCAAAGGGATCTGAGTCCAAGTCTGGGTTGTAACTGGAGAGTGCGGGGCAAGAGGTGGTACGAAGGCCCACGTGCCATGCATGCCCAGGGCCCACCTGCAGGGATGCCAGCCCACCTGTAGATGTCACATTCGGCCAGGCAGATCTCCTCATCTACTGCATTCCAGAGCTGTGGCTTCAGGGCCTTGAAGTCTTCCCGTACTGCCGAGAACAGACTGCAGTTGACTGCGTTCACCACCTAGGATGGTCACAGTTGGGACTGACTCAGGATGCAGGACAGAGGGCATGAACCGGGCTGAGCCCAGGGGCCACTTCAGGTCAGGAAGGACAGTAAGCACAGCTGTGGGGCTGTGGGCCCCTCCCCCCAGCCTGACCCTCACCCAGCTGAGGCTGGGTTCCCTGCTGAACTCATGGCTTCGGGCTGTGCTGAAGTCATAGTCAGGCCGGAAGGACTCATTGAGCGTGGCAATCAGGTAGAAGAGGGTCTTGCGGCTGCACTTGTCGCTCAGTGGGCCCTCATCCTCACCACCTTGGCTCTTGCTCAGTCTGCACGGAGAAAAGCATCAGCCCAGCACTGCCCTGCACCCCACAGCCCACGGTGGGCCGACTCTGCCCCGGCTCACCTGCTGGGGCTGAGGCCCGAGGTCTGGGGTGGAGACAGTGCCTCTAGCACGTGGGGCTGGCCTTCCTGGCAGAACTGCTTGAACATATGCTTGTCATCTCCCGCCATCTTACATGAGTAGCTCTCAATCCTACAAGGTGCAAGGGGGACCTTCAACTCTGGGCCAGGACATCGTAACCTCTGAGGCCCATGGAGCCCAGGCCTCACCTGCCGATGATGTGGGCATCTCCAGTCTCCACTGTCAGCTGTGAGTTGATGGCCTCGAAGCTCGAGTTCTCCAACAGCTTCATGTCCTTGAGGAAGGGGTCCTGTGCTCGGAGGGTCTAGTGCTGCCTGAGGATGGGAGGCCAGTCCCTGAGTATCTGGCCCCCAAAGCTCAGCCTTTGGCCTTCCTACCCAGTTAAGTGGTGCCATTAGAAACAAGCTGGGTCCCTCCTGCAGCTTACTCCTAAACCCTCAGCACTGGCAGGAGAGATAAATTAGATCCTCTTACCTGAGAGTGGCAAGCCCAGGCTGCAGCTCAGCCAACCCCCCTCTCCCCGCCCCGATACCTGGGGGCGTACCAGGGATCCTGCTCATGCTAGGGCTCGCTGGTTTATCTCCCTGGACACCGTCCATCTGGAGAGAAGAGCCTCACCCACCATGGTGGCGGGGGAGGGGTCACTGTAAGCCCTCGAACGCACAGGATTCCTGCAGTACCTCCTCGGGCTAAGCTCCTCAGCTAGAGTAAGAACCTGCACCGGGTTAGGATCCAGCACACCTGGGGCTGGGGCCCTGCGATCACCTGGACGCAGCACTCTTCCCTGTTCTACAGGGTCTCTAGGGAGGTAGAGAGCAAACCCATAGGCTTCTCCGTTCTTCTCCACAAGTGCTCCTAATTCTTCGGACACCAAGGAACAGAGGCAGGTACCACGACCCCCGAAGGGCCCGTCGGCCAGCCGCTAGGGCGCTCCAGCGTCAGCCTGGCCGCACCCGCCTCTCCGCCGGGGCTAAGGAAAACCCCAAGCTAGCCGCGGAGAACTACAAATCCCAGGACGCCGTGCGTCCCGGGACGCGCACGCGCGCCAGTGCGGAGGCCGCTGGGGGCTGGAGTTCTGGAGGCCCCGACTCGGCGCCCGGGACAGGGCGGACACCTACCTGCTTGCGCGGCGCTCGGTGTGGCCAGGCCGGGCCGGGTCGGGCCGGTTGACGTCGGCGCGGGTAAGAAGGCGGTGAGGGCTCCGGGCAGCGCGAGCTCCTCAGGACCGGAGGGCGGCGCCGCGGCCTCCTTTCGGGCCGCACTGTATCCGGGGGAAGAGGCTCCGCGGCGACGTCCCGTTACTCCCGGCCCTGCCGGCCCTGCCGGGCTGCCACCGCGACATAGCCTCGCCCCTGCACGGCGACCGACTACCGCGACCGACCTGCCCGCCGACCGCCACCCAAGGCCCGAACGAGCAAAGGAGCGAGCGAGCGACCTCTGCCTCCCCGAGCCGGACAACAACAAGCGTCCGCAAGGCCCGGCCCCCCGCCCCTGAATGGCCCGCTTCAGCCGCCGGGATCGAGAGCTCGGATAGTCATAGGAAGCGTCTCCCGCCATTCACTCGTTTCTTGCACTTCTACTGGCTGCGGTGCCTGTCCGTCACTCTTCCAGTGCGTGCGAACCCTCCTCCTTCCCTGGCGCTCATTGGTTGAGGCCCCTCGTTCGTCCCGCCCCTGGTGTCAGCCCGCGTTCCCGGGAGTGGCTGGCTGACCCACGCGAGGTGGGCGGGCCGGGCAGCCCAGCGGGCGGCGGGGGGCGGGCCGGAAGGAGCCTGGGAGCGGCGTCCAGCTCCGGCCCCGCGCGGCCGGGTGACACGGACCGCTGGGCTGCAGCCCCCGCCCGCAGAGCCTCCAGGCCGTGTTCGTCCTGGGCAAAGCAGGAAGGTTAGACCCGGGCTCCGGCGCTCTGGCCACGGCCGGAACCCCAGGCTCGCGGCCCCAGTTTCCGGCCGGCAGAGGCGCTCAGAGGCCCGAGCCCACGGAAGCGGGCTTGGGGGTCCGGGCCGGGGCCGGACCGGAGATGGCGCCGCCCTCGGACCCGGACTCGGCCGGGGTGCTCCTGGCTGTGCACGCCGCGGTGAGGCCACTGGGCGCGGGGCCGGACGCCGAGGCACAGCTGCGGAAGCTGCAGCTGAGCGCGGACCCCGAGCGGCCCGGGCGTTTCCGGCTGGAGCTGCTGGGCGCGGGGCCCGGGGCGGTGAGTGGGGGCGGCGGGGGCGCGGGACCCGGTCAGTGCCCTCCGCGGGCCGGCTGTTTGCCCTTGAGCAGTTTATTTGCCCTTGCTTCCGTTTTCTCGTCTGTAGAATGGGGACAAATGCTATACGACCTGCCTTTAGAGGCGTCTGGTGAGGGTTTCGTAAGGTAACTTGGGGGAAGGGCGTAGGACAGTGTAAGTGGTCTATAAATGTGACCTCGTGTTCCTCTGGTCATCATGCAGCGTGTGCTGGCGGGAGACACTGAGCCTGGACTCTCCCCTTAGGTCAGTTTGGAATGGCCCTTGGAGTCAGTTTCCTACACGGTCCGAGGCCCCGGCCAGCATGAGCTGCAGCCTCCACCTGGCGGGCCTGGGACCCTCAGCCTGCACTTCCTCAACCCCCAGGAAGCTCAGCGGTGGGCCGCGCTAGTCCGAGGTGCCACCATGGAGGGACAGAATGGTTAGTGCTCTGGCGCGAAGATTCATTTTGGCTGGGCCGGGACCGTGAGTGCTGGCAGAGAACAGTAGTAGCCCCAGCACCCCCCAGGCCTGGATGGGGGAAGCAGTGGGGAAAGTGGGGCCCACTTTCCCCACTGGTGGGTTCTGGGAAGGCTCCCAGGAGGGAGAAAGTGGAGAAAAGGAATCCAAGCTGAAAAGTTGGAGCCTGGAGTACCAGGCAAATGTGGAGGGGCAGAGCGGGCAGGCCCTCAGGATCTGGGTAAGACAGAGGGCATCAGGAGCAATGGGGATGTGCTCAGTGGGAGAGTGACAGGCTCAGATTCGAGCTACTTAAGACTGGCTGAGACCTGCATCTGTGTGGGGTGGTGCCGATAGGGCTGGAGGGAAGGCTGTCTCCAGAGATGCTTAGGAGATGGAATTGGCTGGATTTCATGGCTATTTAAATGGAAGAGTTAGAGCACCTGGGTGGCTCAGTGGGTTAAGCGGCTGCCTTCAGCTCAGGTCCTGATCCCAGGGTCCTGAGATCGAGCCCCCTGCATGGGG